TAAAGGCTCCGTTATGCATACTTGGCATGGCTTGAGAGCTGTCACATAAGAAATCTGTTAAATGAGCCTCGCGTGTAATCGGTTATCGAACGCACAGCACTACATACGTAGAAGTCTGTTGGTTTTTGATTTCTACGTAAAAATGGTATAGCAGTGCATGCAATGCCAAGTATGCATAACAGAGCCTTTTAGCTTTAAGCAACAAAGGGTTGCTTTTAGCATTTAAATTCTTAATGCGGAAATGGAGTTGCATTTAGCAGGCCTATTCTGTATTCCTGATAATTTCTAAACCCTTTTCGCATTCTGCGTATAGTAAATTGTGTTACCATCTCATAAACAGGTAACAAAATATTGGCCCGTGAAGTATGCAACACAAGAGTTTATACAAAACACGATGTAGAGAGACAAAGGTGGCGCATTTTGGCGAATTTAACAGAATCAGCTGTTCATGTGACGTCAGCATAGAATTGTCCGCGATAAGTTTGTTCTCGTACGAATAGTTACTAATAATTATTACTAGTTTTTGCTAATGAACATTTTTAACTATAAAAAATGCAGAAACAATTTGCTAAGAACTTGCATTACTAATTTCTACTAGCTTAGTGTTGCATTATTATTCTTTATTTGGCTATTTCTGGGCGTAATATTAAATATTTCTTCGATCGTCAATTTTCTGCTCAAAAAGTAGATGAATAGACAACTACGATTTGTTTACAAATGGCGGCTGCGTATTTTTTTGTCTCCTCCATCTCCTCTATTCGTTGCGAACGAGACGTCATCACCCACAAGAATGCGTAATCTTGTATTCTATCATTCTTGATAAAATTCCATAGCTGAATTGCTGAATAGATTAAACTGTTACCAAGGTACTTAGATTTGCGGTTACAAGAAGTGGTGTTATTATTTGGTAACAAAATTTTCCAGTGTCAAAATGTTAGGTAACAAGCAGAATAGGCCTGTAGGTAACGAATTTTTGTATGGATTACAGGCCTATTATGTGTTGGTAACAAAAATTTTGTTACCGGTAAATAAAGTTACTGCCAATTTTCAAACCCTTTTCGTATTCTCTACACTCTTGTAACCAGTAACTTTTATTACCATCTCATGAGCAAGCAATAAAATGTTGCCCCGTAAAATATGCAACAACAGAATTTCAACAAACATGCATAGCTGAATGGCGGAATAAATTAAAACGTTACCGAGGCAAATAGAATTGCGGTTGCAAGAAGTGGTGACAATTGTTGGTAACAAAATTAGATTGTTACAAAAAGTTCGGTTACAAGCAGAATAGTCCTGTAACAGGTCTATTCTGCACGTTACCGAAGATTTTGTAACCGGAAAATTTTATTACCAAAAAATATTACCAGTTCTTGTCACTGCGATTCTAGGAACGTTGGTAATGCAGTTAAAATATTCAGCAATTCAGCTATGAAGAATTGTGCAAATCCTGGCATTGCATTTTCACGGGGCAATAATTTGTTACCAGCTTATGAGATGGTAACAAAATTTACCGGTTACAAGAGTATACAGAATGCGAAAAGGGTTTAAAAATTGACAGGAACTTTATTTACCGGTTACAAACTTTTTATTACCAGCGCATAATAGACCTGTAAATGTGCATTTAGAGTAGAATTTAAAGCAAAATGCGTTAAATGTGCTTTTACGGGTAAACAAAAACAGCCCATTACCAGATTGTGAGATGGTAACAAATTCTATCAGTTACAAATTTACAGGAACTTTATTTACCGGTTACAAAATTTTTATTACCAGCGTGAAATAGACCTGAGGGTCAATTCTCGTTCTGCAAGGGTTAAAATTCAAATTCAGATTTTTTTTAAATCCAAATTTCTCGAAAACGAAAGCACGGATTAGGGAATATGAATCTCTTTAATAAGATACATGTGCAGATCAAGAATGATAGATTACAAGATTGCGCCGATCAGAGGATTTTTGAGAATAACTTTTGTGTGACGTCACACTGGTGCAATTGCGAGAGTGAAATGCCAAAACGTGAGCAAGAATGGAAGAAGAAAAAATGTTGCAAGGAAAACGTAAACAAGTTGCACCAGTGTGACGTCATGCAAACAACTATGCCGTCAAATTCGTTAAGAGAGGAATAGCGGTCCGAGATCGGCGCAACCTTTGTATTCTCTCAATCGTGTGTGCAGATCCTATTAAAATATGTAGTATAAAAAAAAATAAATAAATGTAATAACTACTTTCTAAAGAATATAAATTTCTTTAGCATTAATCATGCATTTTTTCCAAAAAGGTTATTTTATGAAAAATTTACGTTTTCAGTGTTTTTGGTTTGAAAATATAAAAATGCATACAGTGCCGGTCAAAAGTACTTTTTATTCTAACCTATTTTCGATAATTTTTTATAAAAATATTGTTCATTCTACACCAAAGAACATAAACATTTTATCTCTAACAATAATAATAATAGATTGGCGCTTACACATATGTTAGTGTTTGGCCGAGCTTCTTCTCCGACTTGTGGCGTGCGCCTTGATGTAGTCACACAAAGTGGAGAGACCTACAGTTTTACGCCGACTCCGAACGGCGATTGTATTTTTATGAGAAGCTGTTTTTCATGGCAGAAATACACTCGGAGGTTTGCCATTGCCTGCCGAGGGACGACCGCTGTTAAGAAAAAACCTTTTTTCTATATTTTTTGCGATGTTGCTTTGACCAGGGCTTCAAGTGCTGATGAGTGAAAGCGCGCACGGCCACAGCGGCCGACTTTATGCAAAATTCAAGAAAATTCAATAAATTTGCATACGTGCAAATTAGTAGCACTTCAAATTTGGCCTTTGCTATACTAAAATTTAATTGGGCTAGCAACCACATACTTAGAACTAAAAAAAAAAAAACAGAATAGAAAGTTGAAAATTAACATAAAATTTTATTGAATTTTACTGAATTTTGCACAAATGCACAAAGTTTGGACATTTTATTTTTATGTTTTTCTTGCTGTAGAATAAACTATATTTTTATAAAAAAGTCTCAAAAATAAATTAGAATAAAAACCTTTGTTTATATTGCGAAAGTTCAAAGTGCGAATATTTTTGTTCGGTACTGTATAAATTATGTACATACATCAACTGAAAGATAAATAAAATATAGACCACGAGGGACTGATTTAACAGCCGATTGAGCCAAAGGTATTTTTCTAAAAACTTATTAGAATACACACAAGAAGCCATGACATATGTAACACTGGTCGACGGCCAAAATTTACCAGAGACGCCGTTATGATTAATAAAAAGTTTTAAGGAGCCAGTTTATACAAAATATAATCATATTTCTAATATGTATTTAACTTTTTCAAAACGGTCCACTTAACATAAAGAACTGGGTGGCTGGCTGTTGCTCTTTAATAATTTCCCAAATCGTAAAGTTTTGACGGATACAATGGGTAAAAATATGCATGCTTTTTATTATACATACATACATATGTACATATGTATTGTACATTAATATTTTTTAACTATAATATAAAAGTTAAATTCATAAAAATTGCTTTTAAAAAACATTAGTATACAAAAAAGGTTAGATAAATTCATTTACATGCATATACTTTTTATGCATGTGCAAATGCACTTTCATTTCATATATACTTATGTACCTGGCAGCCTGGAAATCAAATCCAAACAAACCCTTACTAAAAAGTGTTACTTCTCTAAAGTAAATAATCAACGTTTATCAATTTTGAAATTCACTATAACAGTCTAAGCTTAAATAATTTGGCAATTTTTCGACAAGAATAATAAACACAATTTTAACTTTCTCTATTAAATACAATAATTGTGTGCACATTCTACTTCTTTACAATTAATAAATTATAAACCTAATCGATAGTGTAGAGACTTTTTCTTGCGAATGGTAAATAGAGAATCCATTTTGGTATTACAACCAAACATATGTATTTGCATGTTGTGCCAAAGAGATAATTCTACCAGCGTAGATACTGCATTATTTTGTGCACCCTTAGTTTTAATAATTTTTCTATATCTAAAGATCATCGTCGCCGATGCCTTCGAACGCTTCGTTGTGCACGGACTCCTCAGCGCCATTACGAAAGAAAACCGCTGAATATGAACTGGAATTAGATAATTTTGGATTGAATTTCGTTTTAGTACGTTGTGAAAGAAATTTAACTGGCGCCGTTGGGGATGATGATGAAGAAGAGCTTGAAGTGGTAGTTGTCGTTGTTGCAGATGATGACGACATCAGTTCAGTGGACAGGGATGGTGTAGAGACGGACGATGTAAGCATTGAAGGTGTATGCGAAACACGCCCATTCCGTGAAACGTAGGATAGCACTTGGGATGGGGTGTCTTTTGGAATGCGTGTATTTAGTCCATCGATAGAGTCTTTGCAATTAAGCAATTCATCGACCATTGATTGAAGACATACAGACATAAGCATCGCTTGTGAGCTGGTAATAGTAATCCAACGTAGATTTTGCTTCGACATCAAATATTCAAAAGCGAGTTGCAAATTTGTTGGTGACTTCAAGTAAGTATTTGCATTATCTCCCGCGCTATTAGAATTTGGTAGATCACTGGTATTAGTGTTATGCATGGCTGTTACACGCCAGCATCGCATTCTCGTCACTCTAAATTTTGTTTCATAGATTTTGCCTGCCGTTGCAGTACGCATACTTAATTCTCGATTGCCTATGGATATCAGTGCAGTAGTTCGTGGTTCAGGGTAATCGATGAGCGACGCACTAAATTGCAAGCAGCCGTATAGGGGTAACTGCCGTGCCGCTTGGATGTACTCTTTTTGCAGCCCGTGCTCTCGCATACTGGCAAGCTTCTGTAAAACATCAGGTGCTGCTATAATCCAACCATTTTCTATATCAGAAGCTGTTTGTTCGAAGAGCAATTTTAATGACACAGGTTCTTGTAATAAACTGAGGTCATACAGGGGGTTCCAATAGCTCTTGCGCACCATTACCTGACATGAAGAAGTATATTCTTGAGCACGTAATCGAGACAAATATGGCGATTCAAAATCCATCAAACGTCTTAATAGCACCGATTTGTTTTGAGTGGTATCACTGTCTTTTCGACAAACTAAATATAGACAAAAGTGCCTCATGAATTGCGTAGGCAGTTGGACACATTCACACACTGTACGCAATACAGAGCTGGCATTATCACCGATATGGCAATTTACCTGCAGCGTAAAGTCGTTTGAAAGCCATACCTCTAGTACAACAGAAACACGCTTTAAATCACTTCCATTGTATTCATTACTAAGAACACCTTCGGCCAATGTAGTCTCTTGCTGTGCATTTAGCAGATAACTTTGAAAATGTTCCATTTTGGAAATAATCGCATCTTGCCCGCATAATTGTAGGTAGTGTTCTAAAGACGCACGTCTTGATTCCAACTGTCCAGTAGTTAGCGGAAGTAAACGTTTCGGAGGGAACGCAGCTGGCAATTGTATGTTGAGATCAGCACATCGACGACGCAGCTGTTCATGCAAAGCGTGCAATTGCTTATAGCGCAAACAGCAATGGTAGTTACCATTAATGTAGATATTGTAGCCTGTGTAGGTGGTTCCAGTTAGCTCTGCATATAATTCTTGAGTGTCCGGAATAGAGAAGTGCATTTCTTCGCCCGAAATTCTGGTACTTCTAGTTTTATTTTCTTATCACTACCCACACGTCAGTGCTAATAATTGATCTAAATGTTAGTGATCCAATGAAATATTTTGTGAGACTACGTAGAAAATTAACATTACGCTAAACTTTATATTAGTCACAGTCATTCACTCTTATTAATTTTTAATTAATTGATATTTGGGCTTTTGTTATTTTCTTGGTCTTTATTGCTGCCTTGTGCGTTAATGCAGAGTTGTTATATGCACAGGGCTGCATATTGACTTCCGACGAGTTAGTACGATCCCGGCCTAGTTCGAATTTTCGAAAGAAATTAAATAAATAAAAAAATCATATTTATTTAACTTAAAATATACGTGTCATGCTTCCTTAATATTTTTGTATCAGGGTCGAACTAAAAGATTCTATTCGGAACATTTTCCAAGACTTTTACTGCAAAGTGATGTTTGTTCATTTTACTTGCTACATATTGGCTTGCACAAATTTGGTTTGCGCAATGCTTTTGTGTGGTTTAGGGGCAGGATTAAAAAACATAACCAAAACATATGTGGGCAAGTAAACAAACGCGAATTAGAATAGATAAATACGAGCGCGATAATAAATATCATGAAAGCCATAAATCCCGAATTGTTATTTGAGCATCGGCCCCATGAAAATATTTTAGGCTTATTTGAAGAGGAAAAGCAGTCCCCTCATGGATTTTTGCGCGTCAGTGCCCCTATGGTGCGTTATAGCAAGTTGGAGTTCAGGCGGTTACTCCGTCAACATGGTGTTAAATTGGCCTTTACCCCTATGGTTATTGCAGACTCATTCATTCATAGCCAAAAAGCCCGTGATAATGAATTTACAACATGCTTGGAGGACGTTCCAGTTATATCACAGTTTGCTGCACGTGATGCATATGAATTCTCCGTAGCTGCTCAATTAATTTTTCCATATGTGGATGGCGTAGACCTGAATTGTGGCTGCCCACAATCATGGGCGATGTCAAAAGGTTATGGGTGTGGACTCTTAAGACACCCAGAACTAGTACGAGATATTGTACAAACAACTAGACGTGTTTTACCACAACACTTTAGCATATCGGTAAAGTTGCGCTTGCTCAATGGCTTTGCAGAAGAATCCATCAGATCTACAGTGGAATTAGCACGGCAGCTTGAAAAATGTGGAGCTACTTTTTTAACTCTACACGGTCGAACAATGTGGCAGAAAATATCCGATCCCCTTAATATAAGCGCAATGGCTGAGGTTAAGAAATCAATTCAGATTCCACTGGTGGTTAATGGCAACGTTCGCAGTTTGGAAGAGGCGAAGGATTTGCATGAAAAAACGCAAGCTGATGGTATAATGGCAGCGCGAGGACTCCTCTCAAACCCAACACTTTTTAACGGACAGTTGAAAGAGAGAGATACGCCTGTAGAATGTGTGCAGCAATGGTTGGATATTGCAACGCGCGCAGGAGATAACATACATTTCCAATGTTTTCATCATCATCTTACATTTATGTGGAGCAGCCATATGAAACGAAAATTACGCCTAGAATTCAACAGCTTCACCAACAAGCGACAAGTGTTTGATTTTTTTGAAGAACGGTACGGTTTAAAACCACAAGCGGAATCCCATACTAGTCCCCTCGAGTATACAAAATGCGTTTATCCTCAAGTTGAAGAGACTTCTAGCGTTGACTTAACTCAAAAGATGCCCAAATGGAATGAGAACTCTGATGGAAAATTCTTTAAAGAATTCAAAGAGGATGTATCGAAGAACAAGTCCAGCGAGCAAGATGATTTTGATTTAGAGGGTAGTTTTTTTTCAATATTAGATTGATATTCTTGAAAATGAACATAGAATATAGAAAAAAAATCTAAAATTTTAAATAAACATTCGAGGTATTCGTGTTTCCATAAAAATGTAAACCGAAAATGCAAGTAAATAAGTTCAAACGGTTTATAACTGTTATGGGTGGCAACGCAACTCAGTTGCCAGCTTTCAGTTGCCAGTTGCCATCTGTAACACCATGTGCAATCTCGTATTCCTCGGATTAAAACTAGTAAAACTGTAAAAAAAAATTCGCTCAGAGCGAAGGAGTAACATTGAAAAGTACGGAATCGCTCTAGTAAAAATGGTAACTTCTGTCAACTTCAACATAACCCGCGAATTTTGGTTGTAAATTTCTGCTTATTTTGTATGTAAACACACTCGGCTCATAAANAGTAAAAATGGTAACTTCTGTCAACTTCAACATAACCCGCGAATTTTGGTTGTAAATTTCTGCTTATTTTGTATGTAAACACACTCGGCTCATAAATAAACAAGTAATTAAATACTTTTCAACATGAATTAGCAGAGTGCACTATTCTTTTGTTTACAATTTGGTTGCCAAACACGCTACAGCTGATCGTTTGACACATTTACCAGTATTTACCAGCAAAAACTCTTCGGACTAAAACTGGTTACGAGGTTTACGAGGCTTCAACGAGTTTAACGGAATACCCCTTGTATATTTAATTTCATAAAACAACTTCTTTTAATAATTTTTTGTTTTGTTTTCTTATAAATGAAATATGGCCGATGGTATCGATGGTGTTCATCAATACTATCGGCATGNTTTTTTTTTTTGTTTTCTTATAAATGAAATATGGCCGATGGTATCGATGGTGTTCATCAATACTATCGGCATATATCGATAGTCAATACTATCGAAAGTTTTCTACATCTACAAAGCAGCCTGCACTCAAACTCAAAGTCTGCGTTCAGACACGGAAACTCGAGTTGCTTGTTATCGGCGATTTCTCTTTTGGTGTTGCCCTATGCATTTACACACAGCAACTCTTTTGTACGCAATTGTTGTTGTCAGCTGTGAACCACCAACTTGAAATACTTAGACGAACGAGAGCACAAAGCTTTGAGCAAACCCTTTATTATTGAATCATGATATGTTAATACAGCAAGTTGCCCACATGAGAAAACGGAACAAAGTCAAAACAGAAATTTGACAGCTGTTAAAACGGCGTTTCCATGACAGCCGAATAACGTGGTTCGCTCTCTCAATTACGAACGGCGAGTCAACCTGTTTACACGACACATTCTTGATTCATTTTGCATCTCTCCTTCTTGTTCTTTGCTTTTGTTTATTAATTTGTTGTTTATTGTGCATTTCAACGGCGGAGAAAAAATTTGTAGTGGTTAATTAGCTAAATCAATAGTTTTAACGAATCTAGCTATTTTTTCAATGTTTGTGCTGGTGGGGATGTGTGGTCTATGTGTTTTGACAGCCGTTATCGATAAAAATTAGAGAAGACAACGATTTGTTCTTGATTCGCATGGTGATTGGATCTGAATCACCTACGAATGAAGTGATTCGCTCTCAAAATTTTGTATGGCGAATTACGTGATTCGGTTCGTAATTAGGGCGCCAATTACGAATGAGAGAGCGAATTACGAATAGGAGAGCGAATCACTTGCCATGGAAACATCGTTTAATAAGACGAGTTTAGTAGAAAATGGAGATGTGGGGTTTAGGTACGGCAGTTAAGCTGATGCTGATGTATCAACAATAGCGTGGATTGGAAACTAGGCCTTTCCAACCACCAAGATATCGAGACTAGGTGGATCGGAAACTCGGCCTTTCCGACTACCTAGACCCTTAGATAATAAACGAGCGGATTGGAAACTAGGCCTTTCCAACCGTCACGAAAGCGCGACTGGGTGGATCGGAAACTCGGCCTTTCCGACCACCCAGGAGATATCAATAAATGGAGTAACCCAAAAAGAATAGCGCGGATTGGAAACTCGGCCTTTCCAACCGTCTACATAACTTCCAGAAAATTGCATGCGTTTATATTGACATAAAATAATTGCAATGATAAAGAAATAATGTTATTTAAAAATTTCCGTGGAGCATTTTGTATTTTGTATTTAATACTTAATATTTACATTTTAAATCTAAATCTAATTATAAGAATGTTAAATCTTTGTTGCAATATAAGTCTAACAGACTGTAAAAAATAAATAAATAAATAAATGCCCACATAAAACTTTTCCTTCGCTTTACGTGACAGATTCGCTTGGACAGATAAGACGAATTGTATGAAAATGCACAAAACATGCCACATAGATCGTTAAGCTGCAGCACAAAGCGAAAAGATGGCCAACTCCCATCTTTTTGCGCGCTTTGACAATCAGTCGGTTTACTATTTATTTTGTTTCGTCCAAATTCGAGTATTCATGCAGAAACATAAAACTCAATTACATTGCTAATTTTAAAGCAAAATATCTAAAATCCACAGTAATTTTGACGAGTAAAAAAGCAGTGCAAAATTGATTTCTTGGCGTTCATTGTGGCATACCTTTTGCGTCTGGCGCTTTGCTGGCAATGTTATAAATGTCACGCACAGCTATAAAGTTTTATCTGGCATCAGTTTTAGTCTGCAGAGAACCACCAACCCGACNGCTAATTTTAAAGCAAAATATCTAAAATCCACAGTAATTTTGACGAGTAAAAAAGCAGTGCAAAATTGATTTCTTGGCGTTCATTGTGGCATACCTTTTGCGCCTGGCGCTTTGCTGGCAATGTTATAAATGTCACGCACAGCTATAAAGTTTTATCTGGCATCAGTTTTAGTCTGCAGAGAACCACCAACCCGAGTATTTAGTTTGTGGTCGATAAAGTGTGCAGTGTGCGGGGACCCTTAATCCAATTTACAATCAAGTTCTCTGGCAACTCTTTAACGATGAAGATAAAGAGAAACGAATAAAAAATAGATCTACAATAAACAAAGCAATTATTTGGAAGTGCAAAAACAGTCAAAAGTCATCGACGTTTGTGTAGTCTGCTTTTTGATGTTTTAATTAAGATACACGAGTTAAGTTCAGCAAATATATAGTTAGAACCACAATATACCATACCGATTAAAAAACTGAACTCGGATTAGGTTTTCAACCTATGCAAAAAGAGCATAACCATTAGCGCATAAATAATAAATAGAAAACACTAAATCCTAAAAATTACAATGGAACGCAACAACGGGTAAGTTAATTATGCTTTTCCTAGGAAGTTAGTTTTTAATTTGTGTGTCGTGGAACTTTTTGGCAAGAAAAGCACAGAGAAAGCAGAATAAGCAAAATGGTGCCAAGGCCTTAGCTACCAACTCCGCTTTGACTATCAGAATTTTGTAAAATGGCTATGAAATTTGCGAAAATTAAGACCAATTGCGTGTCGATATACACAAACATGTACGTTTATGTATGTAAGCAGCAATTAATGCATCCAGTTACATATTCAATTGCTTCGTTCACATATAAAGAGATGTAAGATAATGCATTTAGTGCGGATACTCTAGTATAAGCAGGGGTAAAATCGAATATATTTATTTCCTCGCATGAAATCTTATCCAAGTAGGGTTGAATGCATCTGGTCACGCGTCCTCACACAAACGCACCCATGTACACATATACCTTTGTATGTACATTCATACGTACATACATATATGCGTAGTTCTTTTTATATATTGAAAATTCAATAATACACAAAACTTTTGCCAGTTACTAAAAACGTGCCGTTAATGCACTATTAGTTTATCACATGTATCTTCTACTTGCAGTTCTAATCGTTACACACCAATACGGCGCGCAGGCCAGCAGCAACATCCATCAAATTCTTTATCATCATCACTTTCATCTTCGAACAATAATCAACATAATCAGCCTTCAGATAATCATCGTAATAATTCGTCGCAATACTCAACCTCCAACCATAGCACCTATTCACCACAATCCTCAGTGTCCCGCGAACCGCCCACGCAACACGATGAGCTGATTCGATATATCAGGGAGGCCTGGACAAAAGTAAGTCTCTAAGCACTATATGCAGTTTATGTGCATAGTAGGTATGTATTGGGGAAATACCTACGTATGTGTATGTACATATATTAATAAAGTTACGAAGTAGAGATGGGCGTGGACCTCATTTTTCTGGCAGAGCCGGAAGGGGTGCAGAACACATATTCTAAAACCCACAGGTAGAAAAAATCATTGAGACCCGACCGGACCAAACCCGATTTGGCATGCATTATCTGAAATTGCTCCAAAAATAATAACGAACGAAAAAATGCAGTATGCCTAAAAATGTTACATACAGGAAAACTCCATAAATTTTTTGTACAGAAGATTAGAGACATCATATACTTTTTTCTGGTATTTTTTTTTAAATACTCTCAGTTTACATTAACTTCAACCAGATAGTTAGGAAATGTGCGCCATGTTTTTTTTTTTTAAAGGCCAACACTAACGATGCCAACAGTCTTTTGTATGTACGAACTTATGATATATAGGTAACTCACCTGATAATTAATAAAAAAATGGGATGAAGGCTCAGCAGGTTCAAACTCATGGTATGAGTATTCATGATAGTCCAAAAAGGCATTGTCGAACTCATTTTGATCAAAGTTCTCACCGGGATCCCCATTATCAACTTCAACATCAGCAATAGCATCACTCACCATATAGGATTCTGACCCGCAAACAGAGCGGGGACTGTGCTTGGTGCTGCACAAAGACACGCTTGCTGATACCGAATTCGATATTGGTAGTGATGCTGGTGCAAACGACCAAACTGAGCCTGGCGTTGATGGCGGGCTGCTTGGGCGTATGCGAAGACTTGTGGAACGATTATGGTCAAATTGGGAATTGCGTTTGCTGCGGTTTCGAGGCATTTTTTCAATTGTTTGAAATGCACAGATTCGAACGGATCAAATAAGCATTTACTGCATTTAATTAAATTTTAGTTGAAAAGCAAGCTTTACCAAATTTTGTAATGCTCTAAATTTTGCTATTTGTTGTTGAATTTCACTAACTTCAATTCAAAAAATATGTTGCTGAAATTTGCATTTTGTTTTCATTTTGACGGGGTGAGTTGGCATGTCAACAGCCATTTAAACGCGAATAAGATAATTTTCGTAAATATAGTTAAAACAACGTGATTAAAAAATACATATGTAAATTGACGAAAAGACTTTTTTTCACTCAAAACT